CACAGCAGGATGGCTTTTCAAGTGGCAGCGTCGACATTGGTCTTTCGTAGGCGGTGGATTCGTGGTGAAGGGATTGTGGGGTGATGCAGTTGCAGAGGGGAATGTACGTGTAATATATATTATACACGTATATGCACGTTACGTGACGAGGGATATTCAATGACGAGAGAGGAGGGCTGAATACGGTGGGGCGCGCGATCAAAGGACTCTGTCCCTCGGGTTTCTGCTTTTACTGCAGCCATTGCGGTGGTGAAGGAGAAGCCGGAGGGTTCGTTGTCGTCGTCGGCCACACGCACCGTCGCACACGTCCCTCTCTGCTGTTTGAGTATATATATATATATATATATTATATAAAATGTATGTATATATTATAATAATATATTGTCCTCTCTCGGACTAGGTCTCTCTTTCCTCTTTCTCTAGCACCATCATTCTACCTCCCCTTGCGCACCCAGCAATAAGACTCCGCATATACACCAATCCAATGCAAATTCTCTGTTCTGTCATCGGTGAATATATATACATATATATATATATATATTTTAATGCTCACTGACTTTTCCTACTCGATTACCATTGTGTTTATATATATTGAGACTTGAGAGTATAAAATATAATACATATATACGTCAAGGGTCCCTCGGGAAAGTTCCATACATGTATAGTGTACATAATACACATATATACAAGCGACATCGTTTGGCGTTTGTAACCAGGAGAGGGTCGCATTACGCGGGACTCTACATAGTGTACATATTATACGTGTATTTTATAATATAATATCATCTGGCTCCTGGGAGGGATATACGCACGCGGTTCACGCTAATTCGATAAGGATTCTTGTTCTAGCCTGATACAGCTCCGCCGCCGTAATACGCCGTTATTATTATTACAACTGGAGTACGCGAACACGCGCCGCAGAAGCTTTTAAGTAGGTAGACGGTGTATTAATTTCAAGAGCGTCCGAATATTGAAATCGTTGCTTTTATAATTATGTACTCGGGTATATGGCTTAGTTGTAGTATTATGTGTATAATGTATATTGTTACGTTATCGCGCACACTAAACGAAAGGGATTTCCGTCCCGTTATGTTGACGTCATATAATATATATGTATATAGTTTAGTTCGCTACTAAACATATACACCCCTTGTATTATGTATAAGTCAAATGTATGAGTTTGATATTAATAGTTATATACTATACTTATGGGTCGTGACCGTTACTACGCGTGTGCGATCGTCTATGAATTTCAATCTCTTAATAGGTTAATATATTTCGAGCTTATTCAACCAAGGTATTAACATAGTATAATATATAGAACTTATACAAACTTAGTCTGAACATATTTCAGTCATTAGATACAGTTGCAATTAACCAGTAAAATATTTAAAAATATTTCAAAAAAAACTAGCATATATGTTTATACTATAGATATTTTCGAAAATAATTGTGTTAGATTTTAATTTAAGCAAAAAAATGTATGTTGGTTTTGGCTTTAATATAGGTATAATATTTTCGGGTAGAAGAAATATTCAAATATATAATATACTCGCTGTTTTATGTACCTAAATTATATTTTTAAATGAAATGTTTTAATAATTCTATATAGTTAAAGCTATTATAGTTATTCTACTAACAAACTCCTAAATTTGTTGATACTAATTATTCTTTTACTTTTAATTATGATTGAATATTTTAGTTAAGTTTTTGAAATGTTGTATTTTCACCGATAACTTGATTAGATTTATTTTTTATAAACGTATCATAATTTATTATTACAATATTTTTATTATTTTTGAAAGTAAAATAATATGAAAATTTGTTTTTTATTATAAAACTTTTAGTTAAATACATACACACACATATATAGCAAGTCAAATTCGATTATTAAAATTATTTTAGATTCTAAATGAATTAATAAAAGTAATAATTTTATATTGATGTCAGATTTTTTTTTTGTGTAGGTGAAAAAAAATTCAAGTACGTATCGAATATGTATGTTAGTATGTTTAGTTATTCGCTTTTGAATAATTATACCTACAATAAAATAACAAAAAAAAAAAAATCAAATTTATCAAAAACTTGTTTTAAATAAAATTCCCGTTGTTCTGTATATAATTTTTTTGGTTTCGCCTACTATTAAGTATTTTTTACTAAAAATCTTAAAATACTAACTATAGATTCAATTTACAATCAGAAATTATCCTTTTAAAGTTTATAATTAAAGACTACTGTAAAAAGTGTCTTCAGGAAATTAAAAAACACACATTATTGTAAAATAAATACTTATTCATTGCTTCACTTAAAATCTAAGATATAACTTTTTTTTTTTAAATTTTAATTTTTTAGTAGCTTAAAATTATATGAAAGGAAATATTTTTGTATTTTCTTTAACTTTAAATTTTAAAACGATTCGAGAAAATGTGAGAAAATTTATATATAACTTATTATATTAAAAATAATTTCACAAAACAAATAAAGATGTACCTACTTAATTTAGGTATTGGATTAAGTAATTATTTATATATATATATATATATTAAATTATCAAAATATAGTTAACCTTTTTTACTTAAACAATTGCACGTTAAAATGAAGCACTGATTTGATATTTCTCTAATCTACGAAATACATAAAGTATAAATTAAAAATGTATTCAAAATTAACTATCTAACAATATCTTTAAATTATGGTGTGAAAAATAGAATGTATAGACAAAAATAATAATTATAATATTTATGGAGGTAAACACTCAAATAACGCATAATTCTTTATAAAAACTAAACGTTAAAGATGATATTTTATATTTTGTATAAGGACTATGTTAATCCTATGTATTATATTTTCGTTACAAATCGTATTATTTAATATTTATTTAAATAACGAATACTTATGTGCATAATTAAATATCAACGCTTCAGTTCAAAACAGCAACAACTTAAAAAAATTCAAAAATAAGTTATATCAACATGTTATTATTTGCTATATTAACTGAAAAATTAAAATTTGAATGTTAAATTTTGATTAAATAGTTACTAGTACATTCAAAATGTGAATTTTCTACATAAATATGTATATAAAAAAAAAACGATAATAGTAATTTTTTTAAATTATTTCTGAATAATTAATTTTTTGAATTGTAATTTTAAGCTGAGGCGTCTATTTATACGATGCTATATTTGTGGGAAAGTAAAACATGTTACCCATAAACTATAGTTTATATAATATTATATATTGGAGACTCAGCAAAAAAGTATAAATACTGTAAAGTAAATTCTAGATTTCCTTTAACAAAAGGCAATAAAAGCCTTAACGGTCATGAGCTTTATTATTAGGTTTACTTGTTGTTTGTGCTCGTGATTTGGAGCACAAAAGAATCAATTTTGTTTTTCGTTTTACTTTGTCAAATCAAATACCCTTTGCTAGACGGAAGATGTATTGAACCATTTTTACGTTTAGATATTTTTTCTCGAATTCAATTTTAACTTTTACTCTGAATGTACGTATGTTATAAGTTTTGTGAATAACAATTATAAAAATAACTATTCCACAGACATCGTATAATATCATATACACCATATCTTCCACTTAAAACCAATGAAAAAAAATTTACTCCAATTTAAACATAAATTTAATTTTTCTCTTATATTTAATTGGGTAATTTTATATTTATTTATTTTTTAATATATCCTCTGATATAATGTCGAATACAGTCTGTGAAGTAGTTTCTTTGTATACCGAGAGCTCACCCCTGTCAAATTCGCCCTCACCATCAAGGCTCCCCATAGGGTTAATTAATACATCTCTCATTCTATTGGCCGTCTAATAGTTGTCGGAGTATATATTAGGGTTTATATATACGTGTGTGCGAGTGGTGTATGTGTGTGTGCGTTCGTGTGGTGTATTTCATGGGCGCTCCCTTACGTATTGTATTAAAAAAACCCATCGTATATTAAAAAAACCACTTATAACTTGGAATGTCAATATAAAAAATGTCCTAGTCTAGAATGGTGGTTTTAATTGGCTCTTATTGCGTATAGCGTCGTATCCCTTTTTTGTGATCGAATACAAACCCCGAGGACAGATTTAAAACGTAATAATAAGCTAAAGCCTGCTGGAGGAATTATGTACATAAAAAAAAAAATCAAAACCAGTTGTTGTTTAGAGATCCTTTGTGACAACAATTATACATTTTTATGAACAATTTTTTTCTTGCAGCATGCTCTATTTAATATTTTACATTTTTCTTCAAAAGATAAATAAAGTTATTTTAAAATGAATGATTTATTTATAAATAAATACATTAATTTGGATTTCATAAAAATTATATTCAAATAACATAATTATTAGCTTTTTTATTTAAAAAAAAAAAAAAAAAATTAATATTTATTTTTCATGTAATTAATAATTATATACACATGGACTGTTTATGCAGGTACTAACATGTATACTGTTTACGACTTATAAATTGTTTTAAAAATGGTATATAATTAACTCTTAGGTACATTGATCAGATAATGTGTAAAATATAATTTAAAATGAAAACAATGAAAAGTTATTAATGAAACATATTATAATTCTCAGTTTCAATTTCAATATTAAGAATAAAATATTATTTTACCTATTAAATATACTACTATTTAGTAATGTTTTTAAAAAATTAGGTTCATGTCTCTTAAACATTTTTATTGAGTTGATTATTAAATATGATATCTAAATTATTTATTTAGTGTCGTTAAGCTTAATAACTACTAATTATGGTTAAAATACCAGATGTATGCAATATCGTTTTATAAAATGGTTACAGTACTTACTATGAACATAATATAATATCTGTATAAAAATACGCGATAATATTTATGGTTATGGTATTATTTAAATATTCTATAAGAATTATAATTATTTCTTTTTTTTTTTGAGTTTTCGAATTTTTTAACACATGATTTAAACAAAACGAGTATTATATAATTGTTTTTGTTACTGTTCTTAATTTTCAGCACGTTTAGAAAAATTCTCGGAAGAAGAATTTCAACAGAAATTAATAGAATGGCAATTGAAGGAGCAACAAAAGAAACAACAAAAGGAAAAGAATCAGAAAAAACCAAATACTCCAGAAAAGAAACAGAAAAAACTAAATACTCCAGAAAAGAAACTTGCAGGTATGTGTAATTAAAAAACGAATATTAAATTATGTGGGTAATACTAATTATTATATAGTTTAATAGTAGTGACATAACTGATATTATGTACATTATATACATATTTTTTATTTGTAGTTTTTCGTAGGATTCAATTAAAGTATTTTCAAATTATAAATAATAGCAAATATATATCCTTAGAAACTAAAATATTTAAATGGGTTTAGATTTCTTCAGTTGTTATATTCATCGTTAACTTAAATATGTGTAAATATTATATTTTATTGAAGTAAAATAAAAAAAATCAATGTATATATGTTATGAATTTGTAATTAAATAATTAGTTATAATTTTACAAGATTTTATACTATATATAGCCATCGTGTTGTGTGCGATCACTGTAGTCATTGTATAGGTAGGTACTACTGTTTTGACTTTTTTACCAAGTAATATTTTAAATTGTTTCTTTACTAGCTTACATCATTAACTAACTTCGACGTTTTTAAAAAATTGAAAAATCTAAAGTTGATATTAAAATTCATGTATGCCTATTTATAAAAAGTACTGTTTAGTATAATATCTATATAAGATATATTTTTTACTGTTTTATTCGCGGGATAAAAAAAAATCGTGTGTGTACATATACATAAATACATATATTATCATATATACACCTTATGTCCTTATTATAATGATATTAGTATAACGTATAATAATTTAATATATTAGATACAAGTTTATTTCAGTTGGTATCAGCTTTCATTACTATAATTTACTTTAAGTTAATATGTTATTGAATTATTCTGAAAACAATATATATATATATAATACATGTATATACGATTTAACCGGAAAAATTTCTGTTGGCTTTTTCGGAAAATGATGAATATAAAAATAACGAGCGTAGCGATGACCGTTAAAAAAAGGGGGAAAGGGCGTATCCACGGCAACGGATGCGGAAAGGCGTTACTATTATCACGCTGGCTGCCGTCCCGCCGCGCGTCGTTGCCATGGCAACTGGACTTAGGACACCTTCAGACTATGGTGTCAGCAGACCCTACGACTCTGCTGCACACACAATTTTACTCGTGTTTGTGTATAATGGTATATGCGTGAATATATGTTATATAATAGCTATGGCTGTGTGTGTGTGTGTGCGCGCGCGCGCGTATTGAAAAGCGCCCAGGGGGTACATCGGGGTTGGAAACTTGCTAAATTAGTCGGCCGTATCCTGATCCCTTTTGTCCTTTTACCACGCTCGTAACTCGTCTCCAAAAAGCACTTCGTCATGTACAATATAATATATATATATTATTGAGCTTAATGGGACTGGTGATAGTAAAAGACTGGAGGGTATAAATATATATATATATTTTACAACACAATGCAAATGACATTCGGTATTCTCAAAGAGGAAAAATATATGAATATAATGTTAGTAGGTATACATGACTATTATAAGCAAATTAACACGAGTTGGGGTAAAGATATGTGCAATTTTACCTTTTATTTCGAGAAGCCGGTATCTTTATAATATATCATAATTTGTATTATATAAGCATATTCATGTTTATAGTAAGTATAATATATTGTTATGAATTATCAATTTTAACCTTCTATACATACGAGTATACGTATACATTCGGATACTTCACTGTAATATATATTATATTTATATACGTTAAAATATTAGATGTGCATTAATTTTGTTTTTGTTTAGTTTATTATCTTTATTTTTCGTTAAAATGTTTGTAATTTTATCAAAAAAAAATAATAATTATTCATAATACACCTATATTTTTATGAACATTAAACTTTTAATTACTCGAAAACCATTCAGCAGTTATTATATTTATTAAGTTAATTTAGATTATACTCAAAATACGTCAATTAACTATTATTTTAATGAACATTTTGAAGTATGATGGCATTTTAGTTTTTTAAAAATATTCTGTGGTAGTTGGTATTTGATTTCCAGGTACATTCGTGGATAATTAAACCAATTTCACGTGATAGTAGTAATTGTACTATTGTAGTATGGTAGAATGTGTAGAGTTTTTAGATACGTGAAAATGACCAAAAGTATACTACTTATGTTTGCCAGTATTAGCAGCCAAATAAAATATAGTAATGTTATTGATATTTTTAATATTTGTTTTTGGCATTAAATTTTTTTTATTATTTATCGAAAACAAAATATATATTAAAATCAAAATTAAATTAGTTACAGAATTAATTAACTTACCTCCTGTAAGCGTATACAGCTTATGGTGGTGATAGACAGCTATAATTACTGTTAATGCTATAAATATAATAAATAAGAACATAGTTTAAGTATAAATTAATACTAAAAATCAATGCTATAAAATCGGACAATGTAAAATCTTGATTTTAAGATTATAAGAAAATATTCTTAAGAGAGAGAGAAAAGGAGTCTTTTTATATGGTACAATCTTATGATAAATAAATAAATAAAATAAATTAGATACTATAGGTATAACAAATAAAATAAACTGCTTAATATCACCGCAATTTATTAATAATTCAACTATATATAAAATAAAATGTGTCAACTGATATTTACTTATCATCGTTATAGTTATTTATTTTTTCTATAGAAATGTAGACCATGACTATTATAGTATTAAAAGGGATTTATTATACATAATATGTAAACAAACAGTGTTTTTTCATTTAAATTTAAACATTTACTTAATAAAATATATTATACAAAAAATATGAACGTATTAATTCAATTTTTTACTTACCTATAAATAAATATATCTGTATAAATATTTACTGTAATATTTTCTAATTAAAAATCGCTAAATATTTAATTCATAGTAAATAAGATCCATTGATTTTTGCCGACTTTATTTTTATTTTTTTTGTGATTAACTATTTCTATTGTGTCTTAATAGCGTGCGTAATTCCTTTTGTTTTTTTTTTTTTTGTTTCTGCACTCGTGACTTTGCATTATAAAAACACGCAAAACAAAACCAAGTTAATCGGCTTCTTTAGAATTCGCAAAACCCCTTTCATTTCTTTGATATTAAAAACAAAAGATACTAGGCAATTTTTTACAAAACACCTTGTACCGGCTGATGCAGTAGTGTTCCTGACGGCGGCGCGTCAGTCGCGGCTTTCTTTTGACGTAATATATGAACGAGATACGATTACCTCTATATATACACTTATTGTGTTGTTCACATGTGCCTTATCGTTTTTCTCATATCCTTTCCTTGTTTAAGCGTTGGCTGATCTTTAACAATGATATTACCGAGCAAGAGACGGTCAAATGCTTCTGAACACAAATGGATGTAACAATAAAATACACGGGGATTTCTGAGATTATTTTGCGAAGGGTTCTCTAAAACTGTGTATAGGTATACACGTATGTGTAGACGTTTACTAATATTTTCCATTCATGTTGCTCATTTTTTTTGATCAGATTAGAGTTTTAAACCGGATGAAAGGATCAATTAGTATTTGTTTTTTTCAACTTGATAAAACACACATTCGTAATAATTTCCAATTCATTAAATTTTATACAGATAATAGAATCATAATATCATACATATGAATAATTTCAAAACCAAAATATGAACCTGTAATTTATTTTTAAAATTTTATGAAGTACGATATAACATTAACTATAATATCTTAGTATATCGTTTATAATATATAAGTTTATTTTGACGAATTGATATTTAATCCAATGTGTACATAAATTAGTAATTATTTAGTTCATCACAACTACATGATTGAACTGGACGCTTAACTAAGCTTAGTCAATTTCAAAAACCCGCTGCACTAACCACATTCAGTTGTGCTCCATAAATTATTGGTATTATTTATGTTTGAACTAATGTATGATAATTTATTTTTATTTTAGTTTGTTTTGTCATTTTCAATATTGTACTATAACTATATTATTTTATATTATATAATAATTGACTTTACTTATAAATAAAAAAATTCAGGCAAGTGGATACCGTTCTGTTGTGCATTATTTATCGAGTGGAACTCGTTATTGAATTAATCTCTTTAATGGATTTTGTTAAATTTGAATTCAGTGATAAATCGTCGTACAAGATGAAAAATGATTCCGATGAAAGAAGATTGCAGTCTTCATTTTGGTAACATAACAATTATTTTAATTATTTTAGATTTGTGTATAAATGTCAGTTTTTTCTTAAATTTTGTTTGCTTTTCTTGGTTAAAAAAAAGTTCTGAGTATTTTTAATGCTGACTTCTCTAAAGTACAAACTAGATCCTTTTTTTTATCAAAACCACTCTCAAAATGAAAACTGAAACATTTTATCGACTACTTAACACAGACATAGATATCACTGTAAAATCAATACATTCTTCGCTCTGATCAAAATCTAAAATCATATTTTGTTGTTAATCTAATGTCGAAATGAAATGTTTTTATGATATGTAAGTATTTATAAAGCAGTATCGAGATAAAATCAAAGGTACTTAAATGGTCACGTAAACTACGCCCAAATGATCTTTTTTTTTGTAAACTGCGCCAGAAATTATATCTATGTTAAAAAAGTTGTAATGTAAACTGCGCCCGACAACTTAAGTTGTGTCCTGTTCGTAAAATTTACAAAATTTTTGATTTATTAAAGTCTCTATATGATTGTACACTTTTTCAATTATATCACAGAAATTTAATTTTCTTCTAAAAATACCAACACATTATCGAATAATTATTGTATTCTAAAAAAAAAAAAAAAATTACAAAATTTAGTTGATTAATATGTATAATAGTGATAAGCCGTTGATTTTTAAAATTTTACCCGGGCGCAGTTTACATAATATTAACACCTTTTTACACTTGATAAAAATTCGGGCGCAGTTCACAATCGCCGGTAAAAAGTACACCCGACTGTGGACAAACACACGGCCAGCAGCATCATCGCTTCAGGTATACAATGTGCCTACATATACCAGTATACCAGTATACCAGTATACCAGTATACCAGTATATTACACCGTACGCGAATGGATATGATTCGCGCGTGGCGGGCGCGGTGGCGTATCGTAAGAGCAACGAGGAGGCGCGCGGGAGAGCGATTTATATTTCAAGTGTGAATAACACGGCGCGTAGTATCCCTTGGCAACGAGAAGCCGCGACAGGCCGACCGGCGTACAACGCGTCCGTTTATAAAATATATATATGAAATTCTATTCTGAGCGCGGCGGCAGCGGACGTGTCGTCGTCCGTGGACCGCGTGGCGTCCAATAAAAACGCGCCGGGCCGGACGCGCGCCGCGAAGTCCGGTGGCCGCCGTGGCGACGATAAAATGGCCGCGCGCGTGTCGATCGATATAGGTATATATACGCGGTGTGCGGCACGCCGCCCCGCACAGCTCTTTGCCGCCCGCTCCGCCGACCGCCCTACACGGCTACACAGCGTGCCCCCGCGGCCGCTTCCGGCCGGCGGTTGCGATGCGGACCGTGCGCGACACGTCATAGCCGAATATATTCGGTGACGGACCGCTGGGGAGCCGCTCCGGATACGCCGTCATCGCTGCTGCAGCGTAGGATTTTTAGTGTGTATCGACTCAAAATGTAGTTTCGCATCTCTAGAAACGTGTTAGTTCACTAACTCGAATTGAATAAATATTGCTGTTAAATCTATTGTATTTAACAGCATCTATATAAGAAAACAATTATCATTAATATTTATAGATTGAACATTTCTCGGGATTCGCAGTCGATATCGTACAGTACATAAATTATTCTTTATAAAATCGATGGTATTTCTAAACAATTTCTTATAAAGATATACCCTAAACTGTCGAAAAATAATTATATCATTACTTGTTTAGGTACATACCTCTATCATAAACTTATGGGCAAATTGATAAACTTGGGTTTGTATCCGACAGAGGTCTCAAATACGATGTTAAATTATTTATTTTAATTTAATTTACCGATTGTTATTTATAATAGTTCTTTTGTGATCTATATATATAGGTATTAGGTACCAATAGTCTATAACGAAATTAAAGTATTTAGTTATCAAATTACATGTTTCCGAGCGGAAATAAATACAATTATGTCCAAATATTATTCATCGTTAACAAGTTAACATTAATAACTATTAACTAGTTAACATATTTAATTCACTAAATATTTAGTATTATTTGGAAAGAACTATTTCTATCAAAAGTCCTATCTTTTATTTAGTGCATGAATTGTTTATGTTTTATATATCTGCATGTAACATATTATAATAAAATTGTACTGTATTTTAGATAATGATTTTTGAGAGCTACTATAATATTAGATATTATTTGTGAATCATCTTTATTGATGTTTTTAACTTTGTTTGTTGTTAAAAATTTTAAATTAAAATGTATAATACTATACTCATTTTACTATAATATATATATATATATAAAATGTTATTTTTATTTTTAAAAGATTATAACTCTCAACTTCTACATAAGTTACAGCTTAAAGAAGTAGATATTATTGTATTTATATATTATATCATGTGTGTATTATACATGAAAAAAAATATTTATACAAGAGAAAAAATATGTTTATATGAAACGTTGTTTAAGAGATTAAGACTTTTATTCATTTATTATGTAAATGTGTGATATAACACAAAAGAATAAAATATATTTTGTTAAAGTAAAACAAGTACTTATGTTAGGTATATAATTCAACCCTTGTCCCTCTATTAATGCTTAAGAGTCTGCAAACAAATTTTAATTCAAAGACGTAGAAGTGTGTAACCTGAAGATTAATCTCAGGAAGTCTTTAAAAACTAAACATTAGTTTCTCTTTCAGAGAAGAAAATAACTTCTAAAACACTTGTGTAGCTTGTTAATTATAGTATCTTCTGGTTAAATTGTGTAACTTTTAATTATAAATTGTGTAAAGTATTTTCTTTTGTTAATCTAATTAACTAGTTTTTCTATAACCATGTTGAATATATCAATTATATATCGTTAAACGTTACTATAAATTAAATTTTTTTTTAATTAATACGTTATTAGTTATTACATACAACCATGGTATATAATTTATTTGTACATTATGTAAGTATTTAATAATTTTACTCAATTGAATAATCCTTTTATTAATGTCTTTCCATACATATATATATAATATATATATTATACATGGCTATACATTATATGTTATGTTAACAGTATTAAACCAACTGAGCACAGGGTTGGAATGTGCTTTAAGCGGTTTTGTTTAAAACTTTTTATACATTAACATTTAAAACTTTAAAAAAAAGAAAACATAATATTGTATCGTAATTTTTTCTATGAAATACATTCTGTTTGTAAATCACGATGTATACAATCATAGTGTAGATAATATAAGAATGATGTAATTTTATAATGACCTACTTATGTATGACATTAAAAACAAAGCATTGTTTGAATAAAAAAAAAACTGATAAAATCTTTAAAACATTTAAAAAATCGTTCAACACAAAAAAAAACTGTTTTTTTCTAACTCTGCAACTGACTGTAATATTTTCAACAATAAATATACGTATATAAATATTGTATCTACCAATATATAAAATATTGAAAGACCGTTAAAACAGTTGAAATACATATAACAACATTAATTATACGAAGAGGAAACGAATGTATATTGATAGGTTATAAGATATTTCATATTATATTGATGCATTTAATATTCTATACTTTATCATTATGAAAATATACTATTTCGGTATACCTTGTATATTTATTATATTTTATTATTATCGACTTATAATTTAATATAAATACACAAAGTAAAAATAATTTTATGTATATAATTTTATAATATATAGGCATATGTTAACGTATATATTGTATGTACCTAGTTTTTAAAATGTTCAATTCTGAACGGTCTATGTTGATCCGAACACGTGAGTACGTGCGATTAGTTACCTACTACTGATTTAACTTCATTATACAGTATAATGCATGTAACAATCCGTCGCACCCTATTTATTAAATAATGTATATTTTATATTTTCAAAAGTGTCTTTATATACATATAGAGTCAGTTTTAAGTTAATTATAATATATATAGTACATACATGCTCGTATATTGGCTGTGTCGCTGTATCGAAGGAAGAATACAGTGTACTGTTTTTGCTTGTTACTCGACGTCATCGCTCCCTTTCTTCTTCTATATTTTAACCGAGGCGAATAAAAAAAAAAAAAAAAATTAAAAAAATAAACCGAGAGAAAATTCTTATAATAACTCCTATATCAAGCAAATATCCTCCCTGGGGGGCTTTTCACAAAAGGATTTTTGTGAAACCCTCCGTTTTGTCATTATTAAAAATAAATGGGGAAGGAAAACGCGATTAATAATATCCCCACAGGGTGCAAGCAGTATATGGCGTATAATATCCGTTCCGGATAAGCTTGAATCCGTTTACATACAAACGAAAAGTTGGCTATCGTCGGATGATTTTTCCCCCTTCTTCGTCCTTACCCATCACTTATGCTGTACTGCATTCAATTATAATACCGGACGTCTTCGGCTTGTGAATATTTTATTTATTTTTATTTTACAGAAACGAACATTTCACCCGCTAAAAATAAAGGATTATGTTTGTCAACAGACGTCACTATCAGTGATGATTCGGAAGAAGAAATGGCCATATTTAAACAGCCCGTTAAAAAGAGAAAAATAAATAACAGCAAAGATTTGGTTAGTAGATTTTTTGACCAGGTATAATAATGAGCGGAAAAAACATTTTATTTATTATTTTTTTTTTTTTTGCTTACAGGACATGTCTAATGGCAAGAGTAAGTCGAATGATGATTCGATAATGACCAATGATTCCAGCGCTAACAGCAGTTTAATGACAGAAGACGAAGACGAAAATAATGAACTAAAAATAGAAAATAGTGAACCAAAAGTAGAAAATAATTTACCGAAAAAGTCTAAGTAAGATAATTTAAATAATACTATGATTTTAAAATCCTTCGATATTATTAATTCATCGTAGAATTTGTTCTGAAAGAAATTTTAATTAATTCTTCTTGATGCACAGTAAAACCTATTTATAACATATCTTCTGTAAAGCAAAGTTCATCTTCACAAAATCAATTGTCTTGGCTCAAATACTGTAGGTAGTGTAATTGATCATTTTTTAACGAAAAAATGTATTAGTCCCATACGATTCCGTTATAGAGAAGTATTACTGTACATATTTAATTTAATATTTAAACTCTATATAATTAACATTCAATTTAATTATTTTAGTTGTAACTATTAATTTTTTTCATTTATGTACCTATTACAATTATCTAGAAAATTATTTACATTAAACTTTTAGTTTACACAATTATAATACGTTATATGAAAAAATACGTTTTACGGCGTGGATATTTTTGTGGCAATGAAAAAGAACTAATACTCAACTTAAAATTTCAACGTAAGCCAATAACTGATTTCAAAAAGGCTATAAAAATTGCAAAATATATTTTAACAATTTATTTACTAAATACTATTTTACATATTAGTACCTATCTAGTATTATATTAAGTACATTTATTATTTTTCAATTTAATATATAAATCTATATTACGAGTATGATGAACATAGTGATTATTTATAGTATCATATAAAACAATATTAGTATAGACATTAGACACATTTAAATTAATAATTAATTTGTTATATTGAACTTAAGTACCTATAAAGTATAGGTGAGCAGAATATAATAGACCAATATCTTTGTACCACTTCATTTCGCAGTTCGGTTATCAAACTTCAAATATTTATAATTAATTAACTAGGTATTCATTATATCTTTCTGGACAACTATCAGAAACTTCTAAAATCTACATATACATTATATGACGACTATGTATGGACATAATATGATACATCAATACTGTTTTAATTATTCTTAAAAAAAATTTGGTAATTTAATTTATATTGTAACTAAATTGACAATAATAAGTAAATATTAATTAATTAGTATAGAATATGTAACAAAAAAAATTGTGAAATCAATAAATACTTTTTTAAATGGTACAATAATAATTGGACTATTATCTATTAGGAGCAGATAGCGATTATTCCAATACTTGTTAATTAAAATCGATTTACTTGACATAAAACAGATTTAATCAAGATTTATTTAAAAAAAATACTGATAAAAGATATGAAAAAAAGGTATTTGCTATTCTAACTAACTCTCTGGCGGATCTTAAAATGCTTTTATTGCAGTTGACATCGTCAAAGAACTGCTATAACTAACTACGTCAGTATATGCATATTGTAGTTTAATTGAACTATTTTTAAAGGCATTTAAACACGCTTAGTATATTCTAATGATGAAATAAGTAATTTGTGTATTAGGATTATGTATTTAATAATAAAAATACTTATGATAGATACATACATACATAGTTCCATTATTTAGAGTCTTACGTAAAAAAACGAAAATCATTAATTTTAAATTTAATATCTATACAATTTTTAATTATAAATACCTATTAGGTTTGAAAATTTAATAAATTAATAGATTTAATTAAATGACCATATATTATATGGTGTAAGTGTATTGATAAATTAGATATATACAATATACATTATATTTTATTATAGGTTTTTTTTTGTATATAGATCGAGAGATACACTTATACTTTATGTTCGTTTGAAATTCAAATCGATTGTTAATTAAACTTAAATCTTTATTTTATCAACGACTTTAGTTAATTTGTTGTAATTTAAAAAAACATATAACCTAATAATAATGACTTGAAACTATCTGTCATTAACTACTTATGTTATCATTTTTATTATTTAATTACTACTTATTAGATGATCGCTGTAAACAGATAATATCAGGGATAAGTTAAATTTCTATTTTCATTAATTTGAGTTTATTTTTTGTTGAATTGTCGAGATTAATTTCTAACTCAAATTAATTTTTCAAACTTTTCTAACATTTTGATAATCAGATAACTACATGATTAAATTATTATAATTTTAAATTAATTCCAAACTAGATTTTACAAATTTGGGTTTCGCTGTGTTAAGTTGTGCTACAATATTTAAATAAAAAAATAAATTATAAAAATAATATTTACTACCATACGTATAAAATCAATTCTAATTCAAGTACTCATTTTTCTTTGTGGATTAAATTATTTGTATTTCCTTTAGACCAATTACACCTGTGATATATTTCTGTACGAGAACCCATAAACAAATTGAACAAGTTATCAAAGAATTACAAAGAACTAGTTTCAATAACGCCAAGTAAACTAAAATGAAAACGTATCTTATTTATGATAATAAAATAAAATATATTTATTTATCCTTCATTTAGAAGTTGCGTGTTAGCAAGTCGTGAACACACGTGTATTCAAGATTCTAATATATACTACCCTCAGATATCATACAAATCAAAAACTGAATTATGTAAGGATTTATTAGATCCAAGAGCGGTAAGTGTACAATTCAGTGTACGATTCTGATGTATCAGACTTTATTTTATCCCGTCAAATGTTTATATATACGATTTCATGTGTATTGTAAATACAAAACTAATGCATTATTCTTAACATCGAAATAAGACCCCAACTAATATAATTGTAACTGGTTTAGCAAAACATTTGTGTACCTATACACTTTGAATCCTTATTGGCCATTGTTAATAAATGCCGGTGGGCATACATGACAATTGAATGCACAATAAAATGTACCGTATCACATTTCATCGGTAGGTACACAAATAGTGCAAATATTACTATTGACAGATTTTTTTTTAGTTATTATGCAATGGGAAACATTATGGGATATTTTGAGTTTTGGTATTTAGTTCAGAACTTGGAGTATCATGTATTTAAGTGATCAAATCTTATCACAATTTTTAACTAATTATACAAGCATATCAAAATTAAACTGTATAGTATAGCATGATACCTATATTTTTAAACTAGATAAATTTCAGACGGGCTTAATGGTGATATAAATTTTAAATTGCTGCTTATCAGATAATAGGTATGATTAAATTTGTTAAAAAAGTATTAAAAACATTGTTTATGATTTTGTAATATTTGTTTTATTCTATTTAAAATAATGTCTAGTTAATCTTACATTGCTTTGCCCGTAATAAATTAAACGCTTGTAGATTTATTCATTCTTAATTCTATTAAACGTAAACTGCACAAATTTTGAATATACTTATTGGTTTATTGATTTTTTTTGACCTAGTATAAAATACATGCCTACTATCTGTTATAAATATCCCTCATAATCACTGTTTTATTTTCGTTAACTAATGGCAATAATATACAATACAAATACAAAAATAATTATTTTTCCTGAGTTAACTATATTCAACATTATTATGTATTAAAAATTAAAAAGTAGTCTATAACAATGTGGATCTCGCTAATCTATTTACAACAATTGTATAATCGAAAACTGTTGATCTAAATGAGAAACATCGGTTTAGGTCTTAGATTTTACATAGGTAGTTTATATATTTATTAATTATATCAAACACTTCACAGCGTTGTTTGGGATAAATTAAAGAATGATAGTAAATATTGTCCAATCATAATAACTAGTTTATTTTCTGTAACCAATAGCAATCTCATACAAACTAAAAAATATTTGTTTTTCGTTATACCTATCAAAAATCTACGTGTAAGTCTTTTTAAATTAAATATTTAAAAAATTGGCTTCAGGTTTCTCATCCTTCGGTATATAATTAACTATGAGCCAAATTTTTGAACCAGTTGCGCGATAGACTCGTTAAAGAGACCCACCATACACTTAAGAATTGTGTTTTATTAGTATACACTAAATATACACACTATTAAAATATATAAAATGTACTTGTACACTTTAAACTTTAATTGCGTCCAAATTATTATTTATTATTAAAATTACTCACGGCGGTTAGTTTGTGACTATCAGTATCAACACAAACCTAACTTAAACATACATTTATTAACAGCTATTTTTCAATATAGTAAAGAATTGTTAAAAATATATAAATAATTATTCTAGATTTATAAACTAAACGTATCTTTTTATTCATGAAAAATCTTTTGCATAAGTGCAAAAATCTTTAACTAGAGAAAACATATTCATAAAAATTAAAATTCCTCCTTAGATAATAATTATATTTAAATAAGGTTACTCCGACTTCGTCACTATATTCCGGGTTATTTGCCGGTCGAAAATTATATAGATATTTGAAAACTGCATTGGGTATTTTTTAGATTTTAAGTAGATCGATGACCGAATGTATAGATTTTAAAATGATGTGTATTTTTTATCTGTCTGTTATCACCTTTTGAAACTATAAAAAAACTGCATAGATTTTGATCAATTTGGTACTTAGGGAACAAAATAAAGTTCATTTCTTAATAATTAAGGGGAAATACGTAATAATAGAGCCCATTAGGTATTTTTACGCTGGTCAAAAGTGTATTAAACTTATCGTATTATTAATAATGAAATAAATTGTGAAAATATGAATACATCATAAAATTATAGATTAAATCTATGATAAAATATATTTAGTAATATAGATTCTAAATGTTCGCTCAAAATCTCTTTTCGATTGCAATGATTTATGAATGAATTTAAATTTAGCGTAAGTGTTATAATTTACAGTGACTTACACATTGACGAAGTATACTTGAAACCTATTGTACGGCTGAGAGTAGGTTATTTACTATTCAAAATGGCTATAAAAATTAAAGTTTTTACCATTCGATTTGAAATAAATTTAAAAGTTTATGTTATAAAACTAATTAGCTAGAACATTTAAATTAAAGTTAAACGATAAAATTAAAAATGTTATAATTATAGAACTGTAAAATTGTTAAAAAAATATGTTTTTTCTTTAGCTTGCTGTAACATATTTTAGTTTCCTTGATATAAAGTTTGAATTAACTACTAATGAACTCAATTTTGAATTTGTTATAATTTTGATTTATTAGATATTTTTTATTTTTTAATACTTTTTTTGATATTTTTAATAATTTATGTCAATCAAAAATGTTTTTACCCATTGTATGTATTATTTATACTTGAATTTCATAGTATTAGCTGTCAGCTGAAATTTTATGTATTTATAAGATTTTTAAATATATATTTTGGGATTTATAGTGCATTTTATACAAATTTTTTTGAGATTTTAAACACATTTTTAAAAACTTTTTTCAACAATCCAAACTATATCTTCTTCTTCTTCTTTTTCTTCTACTGGCATTTCTACTCTCTAAGAGTTTTTGCCGCTATTACTACATTACCATTACTTTTAATCCAAACTATAGCAAAATAATAATATGTTTAAAATTTAATCTGTAAATTTTTTCAATTTACACATTATAAAAAGATTAAAAAAATATATTAATACGCGTATGTCTTATGCTGTAGTTTTTGTACTATAAAAGCAATAATAAAATGTTACTTTATCTTTTAAATTTTTAAGTAGGAGTATTATTACAATATACTAATTTTAATGAGACAAAATTTCAAAATTAACTTTTTATTTTTGATATTATTAATTTTCAATACCTAGTGTACTTTATTATTCTTTTTAAAGCTTTTTAAACGATATCCTATTTTTTTTTAATATTTATTTATTTTTAAATGTATAAATCACTTATTACAATTAAGTGTTATGTTTATAAATTTTATGATTGGTCAATAGATATAGATATTTAGAAATGCAAGTGATCACATTTCGTAAATTACTCACTGATTTATAAAATTACTTGAAACAGAAAGACATATATTAGTGAAAACTTAGCAACTATGATTAACCATGTTATTAATGAGTAATGACCTTTTATAGCGAAAGCGTGTTTAGTAATTTACATTTAATTTCAAAAGTTTTAATATTAGAAGAAATAATTAATTATCAAATTTAAAAGTAATATTTGAAAGGTTTTTTCAATACTTTTATTTTAAACTTTTAAAGCTAGTTATATTACTATGTAAAATATTACAATATAAAAATGCTCAACTTAGACGTGTTGAACGTGAATTCGATATATTACGCGCTTGTATGTTTGAAATATTAAAGGTGGGTATAACGTTTAAAAAGAAATAATACCTACAATTAATTATTAAATACTTATATAAATTAACTTATAAATACTGTAATTTTCAATAATTATTAAGTTTATTTTGGAATACCATCTTTAGTATTATATGAAATTTAATTTTTTAACAATTACGTAATGAATTGATTTAGTTGATTTGTGTTCGATTAGAGACGGAGAAATTCGATAAAATTAAAGAGAGCACTTGATAGGTGTAATTATTACGATAACGGTGGTGTGAGAATAAGCACGTATGGTCAACTAGCCAAGTTTGGAGTACCATCTGTTTGGGATGTTGAAGACATAGTGCGTTTGGGCATTACTAAACATTCTTGTCCATACTATGGAACGCGATTATTGCTTAAAACTGCCGAAATCGTCTTTTGTCCTTACAATTATATCATCGATCCGGTCATCAGAAGTACAGTAAGTGTACAATATATTTTATTCTTTAATAATTCAGTGTGTTTATTATTATGTGACATAAATCATCATTATATGTATGATTTGTATTATACATATACATATATCAATTTTTTCTATATAAAATATATATTTTACCTAACCTGGGGATATATAGAATATAAATTATTTGTAGACAAATCGTTATGTTTATAATATGAATTACAACGTACATAGAATGACGATTTACGTTACATAATATGAATATAATACATACAATACATCGTTTTAAATTATTTTGTTGAATATTGTTATTTGTATAATTAAAAATTGACTAAAATTTGTTTTAAGATGAACCTGAAACTTAAAGGCCATGTGATAATTGTAGACGAAGCTCATAATATCGAGGATCAATGCCGTGAAGCTGCAAGTCTGCAATTAGATCAGACGCTTATGAATTTAGCCAAAGCAGACTGCGAAAAAATATACAAATCTTGTGGTAACTCAGTGACTTACGGAAGACTGGTAAGTGTTTAAAATATCTATCGAGTATATTTATTTATTGAATATATTATCAATAATTATAATCTACAATTTGTAACATCGTTATACATTTAAAGTGCATGCAATTACAATAGAAGATGGCATGAAATTTAATGTACAATATAATACATAATACCTCAAAAAAATAATAATTTTACTGTTGGCTGTAGGCTCGATATTTGTCCGATTTGTCAAAGTGGATTGATCAAAAGTCTGGTGATATTAAAAATTACGACGATTATAATCGTGGCGTTTTATCGTGGTCTGGCACATACACCATAGCCAGTTTTGATGATTTTGGTGTCGGTTTGACGGCCTTCGAAATGTTTAAAGTGTGTACATAGTTCAAAACTAAAATTTCCTTAGAATTGACTATAAATTATTATTATTTTTTTTTCTAGAAAGATTGTGAAGTAGCGCTGGCTGATTTGGTTGAAGAAGGTGAACCCGATGAAACAAAAAATAGTAAAAAAGAAAATGTAGAAAATGAATTGAGTGATAAAAATGAAAATGAAATGATAGAAAACCATTCATCTAAAGATCAAAACTCTGATTTGGTTATTACGAATGCTACTAAAACTTTATTGTCGTCGATTTGTTCAGTGTTTAGTTTGTTTTATGATGAGAAGTACAAATATGATTACCACGTTTCCTTAGCGAAGGTCATGCAATTAAAAAAATTTGAACACAAAGGACGAGGAGTAAGTTACATATAGCTTTTTATTGAAGTTTATAGAAAACAACATTAATATAACTTAAAATCTATAAGTATAGCAAAGTAGTATGACAAGTGTGGAGGAAAGTATATAAAAATATGTTTATATAAATTACTTTATATTGACTAATTCTACAAAGGTATAATGTGTATATATTCCTTAGGTAGATTTTTAAGCATAATTTGTCAAACTCTTGAAAAAGGATTAACAATTAAACATTACGTGAAAATATTAAAAAAAAAATTATGAATAATAATGGTGAAAATAAAAATAACCAATAAGAGTAGGTATAATCGTTAACATGAAAGATTCACTGTCGTATTATTTTTGAAAAAGATGGGCAGAATTAAAAATTAGGTACTGGTTATTACAAAATGAAGTAGAACATGTATAATAATGGCGTGATCACATTATATCACATATCACATATTTAATTTCTTTGATTAAACACGTATATTTTTTTATTGATCTGAATAATATTAGTAGCTATTAATTACATGAAAAAAATATTATTATTATTATATTATTTTTCAATAATCACATTTTTTTTGTAGGTTCTAAGGTATAATAAATTAAATAGTATTGTAATACAAATATGTGTAATGTTGGTGTACCAACGTTATTAATTAAAATATAAATATATTATTTATATCATTAAAATATAGCATTAATAAATTAAATTAAGATTTCGGTAAATTCTGAACGATATCGATATTTAAAATTATATCATTGCCCATCACTAGTAGCTAATTAGTATACTTGGTGATTCATTTATTGAACAGCACTTTTTTTTAAATTACATATATATCTACGATAAGTATGTGTGACATGATAATCGATATTTATTTGGGGAGGGCCTAATATTTATATTAAAAATAGTGTTTAATAATATAATAGAATTTGTATGCAATTGTACCCTTAAACATTTTAAAAATATGGCTCATGATTGTTTTCGTGGCACTTCGCAGATCTCGACGGGCATAGACGGATGGATTAACAGCGGCGATGCGGCGGAACCCAATGACTCGCGACCGGTGTGGAATAATGTGGTCAGCTTCCTGTGTTTGAACCCGGCAGCCGTGTTCGACGGACTTAAATCGACGGTACGCAACATCATCCTCACGTCCGGCACTCTGTCGCCGATGCAATCGTTCCAGTCCGAGCTTGGTACGCAGTTTCCGATTGCCCTCGAGGCATCCCATGTCATCAAACAAGACCAGTGTTGGGTGTCGTCGGTGGGCGTCGGGCCGAGTGGTACGGACCTGAACGGTCAGTTCCAAAACATTAACACGTACAGTTATCAGGACGAGATGGGCAAAGTACTGTTGGACGTGTGTGCCGTGGTGCCACACGGCGTGCTGTGCTTCATGCCATCGTATACGCTCATGGATAAGCTGTACAACCGGTGGCAGGTCACCGGACTCCTGAACCGCCTCAGCCAGATCAAGGTGGTCATGTGCGAGCCCCGCCGGGGCGACCAGCTCGAGGAGTTGATGGCCAAATATTACGCTGCCGTCCGGGGGGATGAGGGCGGCCCGCGTGGTGCGCTTTTCCTAGCCGTGTACCGCGGAAAAATCAGCGAGGGGTTGGATTTCTCAGACAACAACGCTCGAGCGGTAGTAGCCGTAAGTTTCCAATGTAAAAATCACATGATCTCTCTCGCGATTTTTGAAGATTATTTCTTATAATTTATTTTCACATCAAACAATATCGTTCATATTTCCAAAAACTAATGTTGTTTTATTCAGGCCAGTGGCGTACCTAAAAAATTTTTGAATGAATTAAATATTAAATATTTTACTATTAAATTATAAAAATGAAAAATCTAATGGCAGTCCTGGAAACACAATATTTAACCAGGAAAAAGTTTAAAGCACTAACATACTTGTTAACTATTGTACATTAAAATCATTTCTTTTTCACATACTGTAATATTATTATTTACATGCACTGAATATACTAAATAATAACTAATTATAACACTGAATCCATAGTTTTTTTCTTCCATTAAACATATATTATTTCATCAACTTTAATTTTTCTGTGCCTATAAATGTTAAGTAACTCAAATTAGCCAACTAACCGTTCTTTGATTTTATCTGACTTTAACCAAGCGTTTAACTCGTGTTTGAAGATGCAAATATAGGCTATATAATTTTAGATTCATAATCTAAATTAAATTTATTTTAAAAGTATAAAATTTTGACTCAATATCATACTTGAAACACATATCGGTACCTACTTCTGTTTTAATTTTGGCAGGATTAAATGGGACTTAATAGAAAAAAAAATTGTGCAAATACTGCAACATTGTTCTTTCTCGGTACTTTGATGCTGTTGTCACAAAAAGTCATAAGACATGTCATTTTCATTTCCGTGGGAGATTTGTTTTATTAATTTTGAACTTATGATTTTTATTTTTTTTTTTTAGGTTGGCATTCCGTTTCCGAATTATAAAGAAGAATCCGTTAAGCATAAAAAAGATTACAACAACAAGCACCACAAGAACAAAGGGCTGTTGCCCGGCTGGGAATGGTATCAGATACAGGCCTATAGAGCTTTGAATCAGGCACTCGGCCGGTGCATCAGACATAAGAACGATTGGGGTGCTATCCTATTGGTGGACAGTAGGTATGAACAGCCCAAGAACCAGACCGGACTGTCGAAGTGGATAAGAGGAAGGGTAACGATGCTTGTTTATATACTCTATATAATACGTAGTCGTGCGATCAGTGACTAAACTATTTACAAACCCATGTATTAAAAAATATCAGAGGATCCTAATTTGTATGATATTTTTCATAAGCTCTGTTCCCTCAAAAAAATTAAAAATTCCAATAACTTTTAAAATTTTCACTAAATATTTATGTAATAAAAAACATAAAAATATGGTTAAAAAAAAAAAATTGGTCAAAATATTAATGAAATATTTATTAAATTATAATACTAACTTTAAAATTAGGCTATTAGTATTTTAAGTGTACTTGTTAGAAACACTTAAAATTCACCGTGGATACTGTAGTATGGTATTTTCAGTGCTTGTTTAATTTTTACTTTCTTTAATGTTTGAAAATGAACCTTATATGATTTTTTTAAAAGTTCTGACTTTGTTCAGGTTGTTTAAAAAGATGGTTGTAAAACAGTTACTTTTTTATTGTAGTTACAATAAATTACAATGAACAAAAAATCATATTTGAATGAAATCTTAAGTATTTTCATTAATTTTCAATGTGAAATAGAGTTTGTACTCATAGACTTGTTGCTTTTTGTCCATCGTGCTACCTAATTGTTACACTAGTGTATAATTATTGTATTAATAACAATTATTAATGTTTTTCAGGTCGAAAATAATGGTTCATGGTCAACAATCATGACCAAACTTAAGAACTTTGTAGAGACGAGACAGCTGCACGACTCTACTGCAGCAGCTCTAACTTAAATGTTATTTTTGTACATTCTTATAAGACTACAACACCTCATTTAACTCATTATTTATACATTATTAGTTATAGTTTTCTTATTGGTGGTTATCATCAGTAAGCAAAATACATAAATGTATAATAATAATAATAATATTTATTTTTCTATTACCCATTTCGTGTTTTATTAATTTAATTATCAAATGTTATTTGGTTTTTTATTTATTTGTTTTATCAATACTTAATAAATTTGTATTTTGCGTATTTTGGATGCCATTTATTTCTATACTGTTAATTACCTATAATTTTGTTTAAATTACAAAGAAAAACTTGAAAAATCCTTATATTCATTGTTCTTCATTGTATATTTAACTCAGTACAAGTATTTAATGTATCATGATTTTTAATTTTTAAAATTACATAAATAATATTATTTCAATCACTCTACACATAATTAAATGAGTACCTAAGGTAAAGATAACTTTAATTTATTGTATTGCCCAAAATAATTATATTTAATCGTCTCTAACGCATGTTTATGTACTTTTTTCAACTTATCAATAATAAAAATTACAAATTTAGATATATTTAGACTAACTTTAATCAATAGAGCAAAAGGTAATTGATATTTTTTCTTCTTTGAATATAATATTATCTTGATATAAAAAAATTGTAATTAGTAAAAGTGTCACCATACATTGTTCTTTCAACAATCTTAAAATATTAAAATTCAAAGGGTATACACTATATACAAATAAATATCTGTCTCAACTCCAAATCTTAGTTGGTGCATCAGTATACATCTGATAGATAGGTATGTAGATCCAGAAACAAAATAATGATATCCTTGTTCCCATTGATCTTTGGCTATAAACTAATAAACTACTAATCAATAGTTCTGTAAGTATAATTATGTATTTAATTTCACCTCTAATTCAATGCCTTAAGAATTTAAACACGTAGGTTCACTCATTTGTTAAGTTTTGTACAACTGAAGTTAGAAAATTGTCTTATTATTATTGTAAAAACTCAATAAAGAAATAAATTGTATACACAAGCGCTATCTAGAGACAAAAACAAATTTCAGTTGTAGGTAGTTCACATGAGCATTTGAATTACAATTTATGACATAGACTGCGTTGTTTTTAACATATTTTTTATTAGTGTTTCGGTTTTGTAATTAAAAACTGGTGACCAGTGTAAGATCGATCGTTACAGTATTGCTGAATCCCATATTCATGTAGTGCAAATTGGAAATGCCCTACCTCATAATATTTTGATGGTTGGTGAGTGATTCAGTGATTGGGTTAGTGACTTATAATAAATTATAAACAAAAATAATTTATAACTAACTTGGCCGGTAAATTGCTGATTATTCGACTTTCAATGAAAATTACATCAGGTCCAAATTACATACATTTTTAAGATGCTCAAATTATTTGTTAATTTATTTATTTTTTATTTATTCAATGCACAATGAATAGGCGATCCGTTTTCGAAGGATCAAATTTTCAAACCGTATGACAATGGATTTTAAATAAGATCAAACGTACAGTATTTTTAAATGTAGGACACCTTATTTATTTTTAAAAAAAATGTTTTTACATTTTTTTTTGTTAATTAATTTTACAAGTTTATTTTTAGTTATGTGAGTTTTATTTATTTAGAATTTGGTGACACTCACGATACTCGAGAAGTCTCAGTGCTTGACGATACATTGGTTGCAGATGTGAATAAATTGACAATAATTATTTTCGACGGTTGGCTGAAAGCGCTTATCTGCGATTTTATCTGAGTAAATAGTGATCGTCCGCCAAGACCAAACAATACATAATTATTTTAATATTTTTAATCGTTATAATGAATTGAAATACCTAGCTGCGGAATTACAACTTTATTTAGTATTAATTATTTTATATTGTTAATGAGCCTGATGATCATTATTTATTTGTCTAACTACTAGAACTATTAAACTTTACAAATATAATATTAAGAAACAAACTGGTGCACGATAAATTAATAAAAATGTAATGAATTATTCAGCTAACTATATTAAAGTTGTAAAAGAACAAATTTAAAAAAAAAGTTTATCGATTGGAAGGTATTTTGTGATAAAAATATACAAATTATTCATAAAATATATTAAAAAAAATTTCGAACAAATATCTAATATGTATAATTTGTATAAAATCATCTCGAAATACATTCCAACCGGAAAACGTTTTTTAGTAAGCACTTATAACATATGGATAATAATTATTAAATAACTGAAACGATTTATAAAATTGCTTAACATTGCTATACTCGTATAATAAAACGAGGATATTTAATGTAAATAATAGTTTTAACGAATAAAATATTATCACGCTAAAATTAAAAAAATAATAATAATTACACTATTTGTATGAAACTGTTAGCGACCTGTAAAATTCAATCGTTGAATAAATATTTGGAATATAAACAATTAGTTAAGTATTTTAATCGTATATCGTATCGTACATACAAATCGTGCATACAAATCTGAAATTGGACTCTAGCCATAATTTCATCAAAACAATTTTTTTTCTATATCGTTTCGTACGCTGTACACACTGCAAAAAGATAAAACTGTTTAAGTCGGTGTACAAATGTAAGGAATGCACTAAGATTTGCCATAGAAGATGCTACAAGCAATTTATCAAATCGGAGCAAGCACAAACATCTAAAGACCCAGAGCCGATCAAACCAATTCTACAAAAATGTAAAAATGAAATTGTTGCCAATGTTTCTAATGTGTCATCGTGTCCTATCACTCCTGTTACGTCTGATTCTTCTCAGAGTGTTGTGGATACCTGTGGAGTCTAGTCTATTAAAAGGTGATGAGGATACTTTTACTAGCTTAGTTGTAAAACTGCCCTTGCCAACATCGCCACCGTTTTAGAACGTATTATCGTGTACCTACTGACAGGTATAGTCTACTTAAAAATGTTGTGGTTGGAGACTTCTATTAGTTTAGCTATTATAATTTTCATAACTATAATAGTACGTTTAAACTGGTATATTATTTTAATCTTCACCTGGAAAGTATAATCATAACTTAATTATGAAATAAATATACCTATTTATAAAATTTCTATTATACTAATACAGTAGACGCCGCTTATAAGACTCACTTTGGGACCAGCACAAAGTGAGTCTTATAACCGAATGAATCTTATAGGCGAAATGGAAAAAAAAAATTAATTACGTATTTATAAATTTTATTTTACTACATATTTTGCTTTGATTTTAATACATGAACACATATTACATATTACATACTTTATTATTGAATAAATTTAATAATCCTGATAAAAAAAACTAAAATTATAATCGTTATAATTATCGTTGCAATAAATGTGAACTTTTATTTGCGATAAAAATTATTATACGTTATAAGGTACCAACAGAAACTAGAAATAATCAACACGAATATTATTTCATTTTTCAAAACCAATTTATTTCTAAATTATAACCAAAAAAGTTTATTTTCTACTATTTATTTTACGAAATTTGAGTCCTATAACCGAAGTGTTGAGTCTTAAAACCGATTTTTTTTTAATGTATTTGGATACGTCCGGACCGTTCCAGACGATTTTGAGTCCACAAGCGATCGAACCTTTATATCCGTGATCTTATAAGTGGCGTCTACTGCTTATGTATTATGTATAAATACTATACTTTTACAGCTTTGTTTTAATCTTGAAATCTATATGATTGAAAGTTTACTTTACTTATGGAACTTACTATTCACATTTATATAATAAAAATGAATGATTATTTTCACACTTTATCGTTATTTCTTTATTAATAATAGGTTATAGACAAGCAAACTAAATTAGTCGTTCCTGACGGGGCATTTGCCCCCTTACAAGAATTTTAAATTTGTTTTAATTACTAAATTATAATGGTGTGCTCACACAATATAAATTCTATAACATTAATTACAATCAGAGGTAAATCAAGGATTTTTATTAGGGAAGTATTTTGTTATATTAGTCCTTAGTTAATTTATTATCAATGAGTAGTATTTTGAGGTGTCCTACGGTGTCTGGACACTCTGAAACCAAAAATTAATCTTTAATTTTGATAAATTTTAAAGGAATTTGACAAACAAAATATGTGGTTCGTTTTGAACTATTTTAATATTATATAAAGTCATAAACTAATTAGGAAAGAAATAAATAGTTTAAATAATGTACCTATTATCCTATTATATTTTAATTATTTATAAACTGTTATTCTTATAGCACCACTGGTATCGAATGTAACAAACAATATATAGTAATAATTATTAAATTATTGTGACCGATGATGATAACTATATAGGCACTAATGTATATTAATATGTTTAAATAATATTATGTTATATCCTATACAGTATACATGCACTTATATTTTTATCTTGGTGGTCTGGGTGCCTTCATGTATGTCGGTGTTACTCGTTTTTAGTGGAATTTAAAAGGTTAGATTTAGACATTAATATATTACAATTACAATGATGTTTTTCATATTATTATTTATCAATAACTAACTATTTTTCATTGAGTCAAGTCGTCGAAAGAAACAAAGCAGATAAAATTATATGAAAGTAATAGTAATAATATTATCATATTATTGTCATTGGTGAGTACTATATTATTATAATATTTATTTTCACAAGTATCGTAATCTGTAAATTAATATTCATTAAAATTAAACATTATAATTAAGTATATTTTAAACTAATAATATAGGCATATTATATAATATTATTTATCTAAATATAGAAATGTAATATTTTTAAATCATTTTTCTCGTTGCTTTATTATTATTATTTAAGTATTAAGATTAGACTATTACTATTCATATGAGCGTTAGACTTAGAATAATCATCCATTATGCATTTTTAATTGTAAAACTATTATGACCTAAAATAAGGTTTTGTATTATAATTATTTCAGAGGCAAAAGCAAAGAGATTGAGCAATAATGCAACTGAACCAGCGGGTGCAGGTGTTA